GTTTCTTATAACAGTTTCTGTTTGTGAACATTAATTTTTTTCAGAAGCTGAAATTGGTGACTCCATGCCCAATAAAAACATACAAGCAGAAAAGTGTAAATTTTGGCCTGAGTGCAAGAATGGAGATGATTGCCCTTTCTATCATCCAACAGTGATGTGCAGGTGATTTAATTTTTTTCTTCTAGTATTTCAGTGTATTTACTCAACAATCATTCAGTAACAAGTTTCCTGAATGTTACTTGTTAGTCAACACTTTTACATGCAAGTTATTGCTGCCAAAGACTTGAGTAAACTATTAACCCCTTAACATCAGGATGCATATTCTCCTTGCTTTTCTCTCTGCACATTTCCTTTGGCACAAAGAAAAAATCATGTAACAGTCAAAAGCTTCTTTAGCTGATGATCATTTCCTTTATTCTCATGATGATAATGCTTGATTCAAGGGTGTTACAGTCGGGAGAAATTGGATGGTAATCACTCATGGTGATTTCATTAAGATGTTATAGCTTCAAGTTTATTAGTTACTTCAACTATTCCGTGCCACCCTCTCTAAATAAAGTGTATTATTATTATTATGAATCAACTGTAAAAGGAAATGGGGTTAAAAAAATGGGCTTTGTATTTTTTTTTTCAGGTCTTTCCCGAACTGTAGATTTGGAGATAGTTGTAGATTCATTCACCCACCATGTAAATTTGATGGAAGGTAGGAACTAGTGGATGTCCTATGTTGTATCTGCTCAAATTTACAATTGAAGTTCTCCTCAGCAACCACCAGCTGACAAAGGAAAGTGGCTGGTTGTAGTAGGGTGGCTTTTATCGAAAAAATGGAAAAAATAACACGACTTGTTTTGTTTCAAAGGTTTGAACAGTACTGTTTCTGAAAAATGCATAACTCACTCGTTCGTTGAAAGTGGGCAAATAAGAGACGGATTCCTAGAGGAAAGTACCCATAGGTTTCCTTATTTAATCATTACTTGTATATGAGCAAAAAAATCGGTTGTCGTTTTGAATTGGATCATGTCTGTGGGGAGCTGTAAAAATGATGACTGTGACTAATTAAGTAAACATAATTACATAATTTTCCAGGGGAGCAACAAATTTCTGAGGTTACTACAGATATTGGATAGTTTCAAGCTAGAGCTGTAGAAACAAAATAATACAAGTTACCAAATAGTTCTATTCCAATGGTTCTCTTTTTTGTTCTTTTTAGGTGTATCAATTCAGTTTGTCCCTACACACATAAGTTAAAAAACAAACATCAGACTTCTCCAATAGCAGTTGCAACATCAGGTACAGGCTTAGATGTGATGTCTGTCTGCATCAAGTACTGTTTGCTGCATCAAAAACCTTTTGGTGCACAACTGTTTTAAGGCAATTTGGAACAAGGTGTCTTTCATCCACTTGCTGAATGGCTTCAAAACAGTTGACGGATTCACAAGTGATTTGTTTCACAACAGATAGTTTTTTGCAATGGTCAAACGTTCTTTTGTCTCTTAATGTTGTCAGGCTTCATGTTTCCACCACCAAGTGTCCTCACTACTCTGCCTCCTGTTACCCAACCCGTCCCTTGCAAGTTTTACCCGTCTTGTACCAAAACTGACTGTCCTTTTTATCATCCACAACCAAAGGTATGTATTATGTCAATTTCTTGCACGTTTAACCTTTCACTCTGATTTCAAAGAATTTTCATTTTTTAAATGCGTATTTGTTAGCTGCTCACTTCATTACTTCTTAAACATTACAATGTGTCTACTAAAATCACTTCCACTCCTTAACAATGAAGAATGATAAGTGGTCAGAATTAAAACAGTAGATTCTGACACCTTGAGATTGAAAGTGGACGGGAAATGTTGGGCACTAAACAGTAAACCCCCAACTTTGCCAAGCTATTTGCATGGCTGTAGAGTTCTGTTGAGTGGCCGGCAGAACTCAACACGCGATTTTCAATCTTCAACCCTCAAAGATTAGCTCTGACCAGGATATTTTTATATGACTTTCCTTTGCTTTCCTTTGATAATAGAGGTTGCTCTTTAAATATTTCTCTCAAGCGCGGTTGATTTTGAATGAGGTCGCCATTTACCTATCAGTACCTTCATGGGGTTAGGTAAAGCCGATGATAGTTTGTTCCCAGAGGCAATATTTTCTTCTGTGTACTATTTTCATTGTCTTTAGGTAACTTTCTCTTCTGGCAATAACAACACCAGGGACATATTTCTCCAGAACTTCCGGAAAATGGTTAAGGTGGATCAGTAGAATATTTAGACTTTGCCTATAACTGGCTTCTAATGAAGGTTTTATTTTCTTACCTGTATGCCTGTAAGGGTACCTGTACTGTGATAAGAAATTTGATTTCAATCTGGCCTTTTTGTTGCCTGTCTTGTAGGCTTGTCGTTTTGGTGCCACCTGCACCAGGCCAAACTGTCCATTCACTCATCCAGCCAAACCTTCCTCGTTAAAGTGGGTTGCCCCAGCTCTGCACGTGAGGTAGGTTGCTTAGTAAATAATCTTATTTGAATGCCACAGGTTAGGAAAGTACAAGGGGCTTGAGGAATTTCTTCAAAGAAAAGTCAGGGAAATGTGTCAACATAAAATCACTGACTTTCACCACGTCCATATCCAGGTCCACGTCTCTGTTATCTATTTAAATGTAACGATAGAGTTTTTGTTTTCAGGCGTAATTGGTCGACTAAGAATGTCCGAACAAGCACGTTTCTGAGTGGCTGAGCAATCCTTTATGTAGGATGTCAAGCTCTGTTTGTATTTATACTTTGTAATGGTACAAATTAACTTTGATATCTTTCACCAAGGTTGAAGATAAAAAATTTTATCGGCACCGATTTCGCATCAGTGTCGAACTTTTAAAGTGTTGTTGAATTACATTTTTTTAATCATTAATGAATGGTTTGGTTGTCCTTAATTTTTTATCAATTATCTTTTTAATAACCATAATGTTCTTCTCGCTTGCAGTGAAAGGAGTTTTGCGGTTTCAGAACAGAAAGTAACTTCCATGCCGGTGTTATAGCAGAGGATTAGTTCAAGTCAACATTATTGAAAATTATCCGGCAAAATACAATTCTAGTCGTGACTGTGTCACTAGGGACCTTACGCAAACCACGACGGCGACGGCAACAAGAACGTGAAAAAACAAAAGATCTGATTGGAAGAACAATAGCCCAGCACGTGTTTTTTAAAACTTTGTTCATTTCTTAGGTGCCCTTTGCAAAACAACAACATGAAATCACCAAAATTTTCGTCGTCTGCGAACCGAAACCGCGGCGGCATATTATTTTAATTTCCATTTGGCCCTCAACGCAACTTTCATGCATTATGTTGAGGCTGAGGTCTGGCGCCCTATGAGACGGTAAACACATGCAGTCATTTTCGAAATTCTAACTAAAAGTAGAAATTAATTTTTTAATCGACGTCTTCAGTGGCATTGCCGTCCTGACTGCGTACGATCCCCATTGCTGTGTCATCAAGTACTGAACTGGCGTTCTGATGGAAGGAAACAAAGCATATTAATGGCGACCGCAAAAGAATTTTAGATTCTTTAATTTGTATGTGACCACTCGAGGACTCTTGGTTTTTTTGCTTCTTTGTTTATGCATTCGTTGTCCTAATCTGTTTTCTGTTGGAGGAGACCGGATATATGACTGATGTCATAAAAATTTCCCTTAGATAGTATTAAATAAGTGCTGCAGGGTCGTTTAAGTTTAGTGACTGTGTGGTAGGTGAAATAAAATCTGTACACTTTGTCAGATTCTTCCCTAACACTGTGAAATGTGTGATCGTGGTTCGCTTTCAGGTAGCCCAATTTCATAGTGTTAATGGGCCGATCAATTCCTGGCTTTAACATCCCCCGGGCAATCCACGGGCATTTGACCGTCGTCCATGTCGAAGAGTTAGGAAATTTTAAAGTTGGCTTTTTGAGGTGGGGCATTTGCACCGGAGGTGCAGAGTCTTTCCAGCGCAATACTCCTGTTGTAATGTAATGGAATGCAGCTTTCGTTCGTTGCAAACCAATACACCCTAAATGTCATCATGAGTGAAAGAACTTCATGAACAGGAGAGAAAACAAAACCATTGTGTAGGGAGGTCTTGCAATAGGGATGGCTTTATACCAAACTCTGTGGACAAAAAAAGAAAGAAAGAATTGTATGGCAGACAGTCAGGAAAATTACTAATGAGATCTTGAAAGGGTTTAGTTGTTCGCTCAGACCTTTGACTTGAGTCAAACCGGCAGGGATTTTAGCACGGTCAGAGAATCCGGTTGTTAGCTGGTTGGTTGCTTACCTTCGAAAAAACTGCGTAAGGAAAAAAAATTAATCTTCTAATTAAACTTCTACTAACGCTCTGGTTTGTGAGGCTTTTCCTTGTCCTTTCACACAGTCATATCTTCACTTGAAATCCAGCTGTCGGCTTTTAAGAGTCGTAAACATTTATGACGGCTATAGCTTTTATAGTCTGTCATTTCGTCGATCTCAATGTGTCGTATAGATGGACGGACTTCACGTTCGAATTGAATTCTTTCCACATGCACAGACATAAGCAACTGTTATGTTCAACGTCAGTGAATACCACATGCACGAAAAGTAAACCATCCACAAGGTAGCCTTCGAACTATGGGCAAGTGACATCAGAAAAGACAGATGACGGTAAATGAAAATACATTTAAGAGAGAAAATAAAGAAATCACTTCCTGAGAACTGGTTGGAGGAAGTGTAGAACATTTTTTTTGTAGCCAAGAAAGACGACGGGGGAAATACCAGAGGCCTTACAAGTAAAACATTGGGTCAGGGGTAAAAAACTGTGATATGGTGAAAAATAAATAACAGGGTTAATGGGAATGAATAATGAATATTGGGTCTGAAAACTCTGGAGTAATGAAAAGCACTGACTTTTGTTTTCAAAGTTTCCCTGAAACATTTGAGGCAAAAAAAATACTAAATCATGTGGTTAAAAAAAAAAAAAGCGATGAACTGATCTTAAAAGAATAGCCGAAACCGAAAAAATGAAACTCCCAATGCCTCCCTCCTCCATAAGGATGTAAGGGTAGCCTTTATCATATCCCGTTGTTGTAAATGATGACGCTTGATTTTCTCCTGATCTTCATTATTGAAGTTTTGGCAGCCTCGCTCGCCTTTGCTATTGTTTTAGATGTTACTGGCTCGTGCCTTGTTGAGTATTTTCAGGAAGGGTTAACCTGTGAATTCGACGCATTCCGGTGGTCGCCTTTTTTCGCACCTGATAATCGAAAACCGCAGAGAATTCTGCCTTCTCAGTGTGATTTATGAGGTAGAAATTATCAGATGATGGTGATAAAAGAATATTAAGAATGAAAGAACGATAATAATAGTATTGCTAACAATATTTGGCCTGAAAAGAAAATGAGAAGATAAACCGCTGACTGTATACTGTGGTTTCGAGACACGTGACTGGGTCATGTGACACATCGTGACACATCGTGACACACCGAACAGTAATCGCTGCAGAGGTCAGCCCTCGGCAGGTGTTATTCTCGTGTAGGGTGTGTTCAGGTGCCAGGGCAGCCGCAATCTAGTGATAGTTTGCAACCTCCACATGTTGGGGTAAGTTCGGTTTCGTTAAAGAAGGTTCCGTTACTTAGTTCATAGCTCATCTTGCACTATCGTGCGGCGGCAACACGTAGGTGTGACAAAATATTGCGTTTAACTTCAAACATGATACTCAGTAGCTTTCGAAATCTACTTCAAAGTCATTTTAAATCCCTGAGTAATGAACATTTCTAACTCTTTTTTTAACTTTTGTGTCTTATTTGTAGGTTTTAATTGCCTGAAGTTAGGGAATGTAGATAGTCCATCGAATGCTGTGAGTTGGAACTCTTGGAACGCAAACTGATCACACCAGAAATCACGCTTTTAGGATCAGATCAGTGCTTCCTAAAGGTTTGCCGACCACTTTCGTTAAAATAGTGGTGTTAAAGTGTCAAACATCTGTTATCCTAGAGCACTATTCAGTCCAAGCTTCCTTTCTTTGAGTTATTCTGATGATTTCGGTGTGTTTGCTTTATTTGAGGTTGATAGCTGCATAATCGCAACAAACCAACTCTGTGGATTTGCCGAAACTGTCCCAATTTTTAGATTTTCTGTCTCGGCGAGATCAGTATTTGAGAAAGGCGATTAAAAGGTGTTGGTAGTCAGTGGTTTGGCTGGCTCACTTCTCAGGATATTTTATCAGTTAGTAGGTTGATACAGAGGTATTTTTCAAAAATCTTTGTCCGAAATAAACCTCGCTCTAGTATGGTGGCCCAGCATTATCACTTGATTCTTTGCAGCGATAACTGAATAGCAATGTTGAATTTGATTATCATTATCGATTTCATTTCAAATTCAATATACAATATATACAGAATCTTCAATTCATTTCTAATGTCACTTCTGTTTTAAATTTAAAATTGATTTTCAAAGCAAAAATGAATCACAAAGGCAAATGCGTTGTAAAATTTTATTTAAAAGGATAATACATTTGAAAAAAGAAATAAATATTCTTAAAGACTACCGAAATAACTAAACAGAAAATAAAAAAATTGATTTAATCGAACGGATCAGCGTTATCATCCCACGCGGAAAGGACTGGGCCTTGTTTTCCAAAATGGTGGTTGAATACCAACCGTGGTGGATTTCGCCAATCATGGCCTCAAAGAGTGAATGGATGGAGGACGATCAGTTGGAACAATACTTAGAAACGTACATTAGCCAAAATCTAAAGAGATCAGATGTTCTTGATTTTATGAAGCGAGATTTTCCCCAATATAATTGGAGTCTTGCCACCCTCGACAGACATCTTCGTCACTTTGGTATTCATTACATATATTATGACACTCCACTTGCAGTAGTGTCAGATGTGGTGCAGAAAGAATTAGAGGGACCAGGATGACTACTTGGTTACAGAGCAATGAATCAGAAGCTTAGAACAGAGCACAATGTTCAGGTACCATGTCATCTTGTTTACAACATGATTGCTGAATTGGATCCTGAAGGACTAGAGGCAAGAAGCCTTCAAAGACGAAAGAAAAAGCCCAAAGGCCAGTTTACATCTGAAGGGCCTTTATGGGTAGCTTCCTTAGATGGGCATGATAAACTGTGTGTTATCAAAATTCCACCTTTCCTCTTGGTGTATACGGCTGTAGTGACACGTTTTCCCGCAAAATCCTCTTCTAGTTTGTGTGCTACTTGAACTCAAATCCTTTAGTTGTAGGCAAGATGTATCTTTGGTACCTATTCGAAACAGAGATGCTTCTGAGAAACCTCAGGGTTGACAGAGGGACGGAAACTGCTAAAATGGCCACAATTCACGTATATCTGTTAAACAAGCACGAAGTCATGAATGATCCCACTGATGCAATAATTTATGGCCCTTCAACAAGCAACAAGATCGAGAGATGGTGGCGTGAACTACATGAACGACTAGAGAAGTTCTTTAAAGAACAATTGACAGTGCTTCTAAGGGGAAGAGAGTATGACCCACATAGTGTACTCGACAGACAACTGCTTGCTTATGTGTTTATACCAGTTGTCCAGCGCGAGTGTGACATTTTAGTAAGGTACTGGAATTCTCACAGAATCCGAGTGCAAGATAAGTTGGAAATTCCAGGTGGGGTACCAGACCACATATTCTCTTTCCCTGGATATTATGGAGGGAGCAACATGGGAATCCCATTACACAAAGATGAGTTGAGGGAGGTGGCCGAGTTGTCAGGGGTAATGGATGGTGACGTGTTCGACTTTATTAACCCAAGAGTGAAGAGGGAATGTTTGCAACTACTTTCAAATCCAGAAAAAGTAGAATCAAAGGATGCAATTGAAGCATTTAGGCTTCTCAAAAGAAATATCAAGTTCCCTTAAGATGCGAGTGAAATCTCACATATACTTCACTCTTTCTAGATTTGGAAGTGAAACTGATGGGCCACCATACAAAAAAACCCTGACAACCAGAAACACTCACCAGAATGGGTTTTTATCTTCAAAAACAACCTGAAACTGTTTACTGCCTTTTGAGTTTGAAACCAAATAATGTTGCTTTCTATGACCAAACAGAGAAATTTGTCTTTGTAGAATGTTCATTTCTAGTGTTTCTGCTAAAATTAAATCAACCACAGCTTAACTGCATTGGAATGGACTCATTCAGGAAGTGTTCAACTACCAACAGCAGAGCCATAATGAACGATGAAAAAAGCAGCAAGTAAATTGTTTGTATTCTTAGAAACATTTAAAGTGGTATCAGAAAACACACAACATTTTGGGGCACCAGGAGTAATAGTTCAGTCCATTTCACTTCAAAGATAAAATCAGTCTGAAGACTGGACACAACATGAAAAAAACGAGTTTAATTCATTTGAATTAGTGTAATCTATAAGGTCAAGCAGTACTTGAAACTGTGAACTGACCATTTGATTATATTTAAAAAAACCCAAAAACTATTTTCGCTTAAGTAACCTGAGAAGATATCTTGGAAAACAGTGCCAAATGTGACTATATGCTGGGAAGGTGGAATATGTCACGATGACAGCAAATCACATAACACCAGCTTAAAAAACTAAAATACAGCCCAAATACTTCACTAAAACAGCAACAAGTGTTAAAAAAAAAAACATGCTTCCATGCTATAATAAACAATGCTAGCTATAAATAAGCACATCACAACCAGTGCCTGGACATTCAAACATCACTACCATTTTCATCAAACACTTTCAGAGACACCATGTCACAATACTTGTTACAGGTGTGCTTTGATTTGAATTCATCAATAGCAATACAGGAAAGGTTTCCAGCTCAGAAGTTGACCTCCTTTGAATCATTAACAAAAAGATCAGTGGTTGCAATTTCTGGATGGTACAACTTAAAAGAGGAACCCTGAATATCAAGTAGCATAAGCTTCTTTTCAGATATCTGATAGCTGTAATGCACAAGGCATTGTGCCTTTTCATAAATCTCATCAAATTCCACTGATGGGGAGGGGATGTGGAAACCATTATTGTTTACATATTTGTGAAATTCACCTTGAACAAACTCTTCAATGGTAACTGGTTGCTTTTTAAACAGCAAACAAAGCTTTCACATACTCAAATGTACCACCAAATTCAGGTGGTACGCTTTTAGGAAATCTTTTGGTTAAGTGGCTTGCAACTGCACTCATTTGCACTAGCTTTCTTGTGTGATCCTCTAGTGACATATCAAGGTCATCATTAATAGTCTTTACTGCTTCCTCCTGATACTCTTTCACCACCCATGCGGTTTGTGCAGCATCTTTTCCGATAGTAGTAGCACGAAATACATCTCTAAATGCCCCATGAGCAAATCTTCTTTCTTCAATTTCGAGTGTAAGTGAACCACTTTTAACCCACTTCATTTCTGCGACATCAAAACTCTCCAGATCTAACACCATGATATTTGTTGCTGGTGGCTTGACGAGTTTACCAGCTTTCAGAAGCTCTGTAACTGACACTGACTTGGGGAAAACCATGGAATGCAAGGCAGGCAGATTTCCAGACATTTTCACTAGACTTGGTACGGACATAGTCACCTTAGCTGGTGCTAAGCTATCTTCAAACAATTGCTGTCCTAATTTTGGAGCGACATCTGTGGACTTTAGTGGAAGAACACGAATAAAATAAACCCTTTTGCCTTTGATCTGCCCAAGCTTGGTGCAGGAGGGTCCCCTCTTAGACCCCAAAATATCGCATGAGCCCTCTGGAGCCTGATAATACTTCTCGCAGGCTTCATTAATATTTTCCATTGTTAGATCATCATATTTGCCAAAGGGAATGAAGTACCGAGTATCCAAGGGTTTAAACTTTTTAAGTCTGCCTGAAGCGGTGCTGGACATACGCTGCACAAGAATGTCATTCAGTACTGCCTTAGCACTTGCTCCCTTCTTCCCCCCACCTGCACATGATCGCTTCATGCCCACTCTTGCCTAGAAATCTTCCCACTTTTCTTTTCCTTCTTTTCTCTGTTTCATTTTCGATAGAAACCATACGGCACAGCCCACACCAGTGCAACTCACAGAAAAAAATCAAGCAGCTGTAAAGTCTCATGGGAAAATAAACCTATGCCCACCATTTTGGAAAACAAGGCCCAGTCCCAGTCCTTTCCGCGTGTGATGATCACACTGCTCTGTTCGATGAAATCAATTTTTTTTCTGTTTTGTTATTTCGGTAGTCTTTAAGAATCTTTATTTCTTTTTTCAAATGTATTATCCTTTTAAATTAAATTTTAAAATGCATTGGCCTTTATGATTCATTTTTGCTTTGAAAATCAATTTTAAATTTAAAACAGAAGTGACATTGTAAATGAATTGAAGATTCTGTATAATATTGTAAATTGAATTTGAAATGAAATCGATAATGATAATCAAATTCAACATTGGTATTCAGTTATCGCTGCAAAAAATCAAGTGATAATGCTGGGCCACCATACTCTAGTATGGTTTGCAACCTGCTACAAACTGACACTAATGTATGTGTTGTGGTTCAAATTTAATCTTTGGTTTGAATTTTTTTAAAACAGTTTAAATTTTTCAAACTGGTTAGAAATTTTCAAACTGGTTAGTAATTTTTAACACTTAACTTGTTCGTATTTATTTGTACCTCTCCTTGTAAAATACAGTGTAAAATAAACTAACATTTTAGTCATTTTAGTGATTAGGGTTAAGCATTTATTTCAAGTGGTTAGCTTTCATGTAAGGTTAGGGGTAGCATTTGGTGGCACCCAGTTTCGTTATTGGGGTTAAGTGCTTTGTTTGAATGGTTTGGGTTATGGTTAGGGTACGATTTCATGCAAGCCCTTAATCGAATGAGAAATACTTGTCTTTGGTGACAACATTAAATATTTATTTTTTGACACTCCTGTAAAATATTTTACTTGCAGCACAACAAAATAGAATATTTACAATTAATCTACCATTTAACTAACAAAGTCAAGAAAACATTGAAGTTATTATTGAGCATTTTCGGTCAATTTACATGCACCAGTGAAAGGAATTTCTTTTTCATAATCAAGTTTTACATTTGTTGCTGTACATCCGAAAAGTCTGGAAGGGGCAATCAATCCCTTAATGCAACTAAAAGGTGTCACCACTTTCACATAATTATTTTCAATTTCAAGCACTTTTCCCAGAAGTAAAATTGGGTGGAAAGGAGATTTCTTGTCCACTCTATCTAATATTTTAATTGAAACCATGTCATGAACTTTGTACACTTTCTTTCTTGGATTTACTTCAGGCTGTTTTATCATTTTGGTATTGTAGCTTTCCTGTGCTTCTCGAATTTTTCTTCTTTTCTGCTTTCCTGGGTCTTCTTGAAGATCATGGTCTAACAGTTCCCTTTTGGCCCTCATGTGAAACACTGCTTCATATGGTGTCATGTTGATAGTACGATGATAAGTAATGTTCCTGTTGTAGGATACTTGCATTGTGTACTTGCACCATTTGGAAATTTGGAGACCACATGTGCTCATTATCAAGCTTCTCATGTTTTCTTTGAATGTACGATTTGACCGTTCCACTAGCCCTTGAGTTGTCGGAGTCCTGGCTGCTCCATGGAGAAGTTGGATCTGATTAGTGCTACAAAATGCTTTCATTTTATTGTTTTCAAATTCACCTCCATTATCTGTTAAAATTTTTTTGGGGTAGCCTTAAGTTAAACAGTACTTTTGAACTTCATTCAGTACTTCATTCAGTACTTCAGCAGCAAGTTTGTTATGGATGGGGTGAACATTAACAAACTTTGTGTGGTGATCAATAATATGTACAGTCCACTTGTGCTTTGATTCACATTCACATGGGCAATTTCTGAAATCCATAAGATCAACTGCTATCAAGGAAAGGAATTTTTCAGCTTGAAGAGGACTTACCATGGGTTTCACTATGGTGGTTATGGGTTTTTGCTCTGTGTGAAAACGGCAAAGAGAAACAAAAGTACTCACAACTTTCTGTGTTACTTTGGAATAATTCTCAGCAATCCATTTCTCAGTTTTTTGTCGTCCTCTGTGAGCAATTCTATTATGGCATTTAGAAAGCATAACGAAGAGCATTCCTTTATGTGCAACTTCTTTCCCTTCTGAGGTTAATAACTTGCCATTTGCATATTTCCACTTTTTTCGTTTGATGGTGTCGATTTCTGCCTTTGAAAGCTCCTGTGTTTTGATCAAAGGTGGAATATCAAGCTCTTGTTCAGTGACTACTTTGAGATAATTATTCACTCGATGATAGAACTCTTCTTTGACAAACACATTTACTAATGATTTGTTTGTCTTTAAAGACTCTTTTAAGCCTTCAATTTTGGCTTCAAACGTTTCTTTAGATACGCAATTGGCAGTTTCGTCCAAGGCCTCCATGCTTCACTTGCTAGAAATGGGCATGTGCAGATTTGTTTAATATAATATTATTATGCAATATGAATAAATTACGATTTTGATGGAGAGGAGCCTGAGACGAGTGGGTAATAATAAGAGAAAGAAATGAGTGAAATTGCAACGATTGCAATTACTACTACAAATCCAAAGGTTGGGAGTTCAAATCCTGGTGAGTACTAAGAGATATAAAGAAAGGGAAAAAAGGTACAGTTAGATATTATGGGGGGTTAGATGAAAGGTAATAAGAGGGGTTTGGAAAAAGTAGATTCAGGAAGGGAATGACAGTATAAGGAGGGAGGGGTGGTTGTTGAACTTAAAAGAACTGAATAATGAAATTTTCTTATAAGCACAAATTATTTTTAAGAATTTGTGCCAAAAAGCCAAGCCCCTATTTTTCAACCACACCCCAAAAAAGGAAGGTCCTTTTTCAGACAGTTGATAACAGAACTGGTTTAAAAATTTCAAACCAGTTTGAAAAACTTAAACTGGTTTAAAAAACTCAAACCAAAGGTAAAATTTGAAGCACAGCATATGTACAGTAACATCTACATTACATTTATTATCCTTAACACTTTCATATCACAAGGATTTTAAAAATAGTAGTTGCAATAAAATGATAATAAGTACAAAAAAGGTATGATCTAAATAAATAAGTAATTCATAAATGGAAATTCTATACATAATACATAATATCTTATATATTAATAGTTTGATAAATTTATAAAAAGGGTTACATATTTAATAGATTTAATTGAATCTAAGAAATTCTGATACTTTACATTTAAATACATTTAGAGATAGGGCCATAATGATTTGGTCATTTAGAGAGTTCCACTTACAGATGGTCCTTGGAAAGAAGCTCTTGTTATAATAATTAGGGCCAGTAGGTAATTGAATAAAAGATTGTGAATGGTGGTTTCTTGTGGCTCTTATTGGCTGCTTCAGATCCTCAGGTAATTTTATGGCTATCTTGTTGTTAACTGCTTAGTAGAACACATGTAGTCTATTTGCAGTTCTTCTGGATTCAAGCCTGTCCCAGCCAAGCTGCTTAATGTCAGACCAGATACATTAGTGTTATATCTGTTGTAACAATTGAAGGTGAAGCGAGCAGCTCTTTGCTGAACAGCTTCAATCTGCATGATGTTACTCTTGGTGTATGGGTCCCATGCCGCTGAGGCAAATTCAAGATGAGGGCAAACAATGGTGGAATATGCCATTGACTTAATATCTGAGGAGCATTTGCTAAGGCTGCGCTTAATAAAGTTGAGTTGATTTGTTGCTTTGGTTGTTATAAGATCAACATGTTTGTTCCATTGCATGTCACATGACAAGTGCACACCAAGGGTGATCAGACACTGGTTTCAGAATTGATCCTGAGATGTTATAGTAGAACTCTAGCTTTGACTGCAAGGTCGAGATCCGTAAGGCATAGCATTTCGCTGGAATGAAAGTCATATGCCAGTCTTTTGACCATTTCACCAGGTGATCCAGATCATCCTGCAATGCACATGTGTCCTGTGTTGATGGACGAAAAAGCCGACAGTCATCAGCAAACAATTTAAAATTGGAAGTTACATCATTGCCAATATCGTTGACATATAGCAAGAACATAAGAGGACCCGAAACAAAGGACAGCAAGTCTATGTTTTTATCGTAAGAAATCCTCGGGTTGAACTTCAATTTTGAAAATATTGGTTGTTGCATACTGTTGTTGTTACAGTGGGACTTTTAGCAGTAAATCAGCAATTTTGAACATGGCTAAGCATGCAGGGCAGTGCCAACTTCATGTGGCGAGTGTAGGAGTAGTCAAGTCACTTGTTTTACCACCTCTTTTAACGAAACACTCCTGGTTGAAAACCAATTGTTTTTTTTCATGTATTGCTAAGCTCAGGAAATTAACCTTTCCTAGCTTATGTTGGTGTAATCACGCAGACTCGAGTAGCACGATGTTACATTTGTTGGTGTTGGACAGAATTGCTGGTTGATTTGAAGTCTGTAATTTTTTTCATTGAAGTGAAGAAAGAAATAACACGTAAACATTGATCACTTGCTAGAACAGTACAATGGACGTCTTTAAACAACTAAATCTCTCTTGCTTCTCCACTTATGACAAACTTTGATAAAATGTCAATAATATTAGTGTATTTTGAACTTTTGCTCGACTCACAGATTCAATGATCACAAGAAAAACTTGCTACAGTTGAATCCTTGCTCTTTCTGTTTAAACTGACTTATAATGAATCATAGATTACCTTGTTGGAAGCATGTTAACAACAAACTTTCCTGCCTTCACTGGACAAATTTGCTAAAAAACCGGAAATGGATTTGAAGGTGGGACATGGTTCTTAAACCATTATGAAATACCATGCATGGAAAAGACAAATAATTCACATTAATGGGTTTTTGGAAGGAATTGGGATGGGATTCTAATTTACAATGATAGAAAATAAGCAGATAACATTAATGCAAAATGTTCTTTGTATGATGTTAGAAAGCTGATTCCATTTGAAGGAATGTAAGACTGTACAATGGGTTTTGCTCTATTCCCATGTTGCTGGGTGACATTTTCATTGATAGGACTTAAGTATTTTACTATGGATGATTTTCAATGGGGAATTTTTAAACTCCAAGATGGTATTTGTAGTTGATTCCATTGATGCTAACAACGGGAAAAGTACTCGTGACATGACGGTTATTGCAATCTTGCCATGATTGCTTTAATTGTGAATTAAGCAGATTCAGTGATGGTTATTGTATTTTTACCATCCAGGTAAAATGGGAATATGCATATTGCATGATGGTAACTGTAATCTTTCTGTAACAGTTAATGCCTTTAATGGGAAATGTACATATTACACGATGGTCATTATATTCCCACCATTTAGGCTAACACTGGGAAATATGCATATTACATGATGGTAACTGCAACCTTTACAATAAAGGTGAAAATGAGAAATATGCAAATTATATGATGGTTGTAACATTTTTACCAGTAATGGCAAGATGGGAAATGTTTGGATTTCATTACATAGATATAGTGATCTTACCATTATAGAAATACAAGGGAAATACCTTGATTGCCACAAGGCTTTACCATGGAGTTGAGGACAGAAGCCCTGAATGTTATTTTTGTAACCAAGAAACAAAATAATGGTTAAAAACAACTCTTTCCAAAACATGAGTGCATCTTTAATTAATAAAATGAATATATTTGACTAACATATGACACCCAGGTGGTAGTTCCAAGGATAAGATATTTTCCACAGAGCTAACACACAACAGTTTGTTTAAGTTTGAAATTTGAACTTACTAAACTAGCTGTTTCAATAAAACTAGCTAAAAAAAACAATACAAAACAAAACAAAAAATAATGACAAAAAAAGCTTGGATTTGTACTCCCATAAACCAGCCTGATTTACATATCAAACCTAGGATACTTCATTTGGTGTTGCTTTTCAAATTAATAAAAATTTGTAATGTTTGTGAGTTGACATTCATCACTGACATAATGAACCTTAAGCTTACTTATTATTGAAGGAGCATTTGTCATTACCCCGTGAGAAAAGGAAGGATTGACAAACAATATAGGTCATCAATATTTTCCCAAGGAAGAGGTCTTGTGGTTAAATTGGGTTTGAATGGTTTTGGGTTTAGTAAGTCTCTACTAAAGTGTACAGAAAGTGCTATGGAATTTCACTTCATGAGAAACGTTCTAAAGTGACTACTTTTTAGTTTTTGCATTCCCTTGTCTGTGATTGCATAACAGCTTTCTTCATTTTCTAATGTGAATTCTGACAATGTATAAGTAGCAACTTGTCATAACATTTAACCAGGAAATTTAAGAAAATAAAAAAAGCTATAGTTAAAAGACATTTCAATAAAAACGATGTTTTGATGGTAGTATGACATTACTAAGTTAAATATGACTAAAAGGAGTATGTATTGTTTATACAAATCATGAAAGAAAGAAAACTAATTACAAAATAGGTTATATAAACAGGTGACAATAAAAGATAACAATGATATTTAAAGATATAAATACATGGTTGAAAAAGGAAAAAGAAAGACTGAAGTAGCATAACTTAAATAAAAGGTTTTGCATTAATAGTCACTCTGCACATTAAGAGAGGGTTTTACTTTCCTTATAAAAAGCATTTTATAAACAAGGCAGTCGAATTTACTGTGACAGTCACATTTCTTGAGAACATGAAATTGGTCACTTTGGAATCGCAGGAGGCTTCCATGTTGTTCTCTGAGGTGATTGCTAATGGCTGAGTATATATGTTCAATGATGCATTGGTTAAGGTGTCAGGTTGTCGAGCCAACATAATCTGCATCACACAGATGACATTCAAATTTGTAGACAATGCAATGTTGATTTACCAGCTCAGGTTCTGACACTATGTTTTCTTTCCTACCAACTTCCTCTGTGCCCTTAACTATAGGGACAGAGCTGTTTTCAATTTCCTTGGACAAATCAAACTCTTAGTCTTCTTTACTATCCCCTAGATACTCTCAACCATGATTACAGAGCCATCTTCATTTTCTCCAGTCAAGTTCGAGTTATTTTTGCACCCATCTTCCTTCCAAAAAATTATGATAAAAGACTTAGTACTTCTGTCTCAGTCTGAATATGGGCTTTTATGCCTGAGGGGCTGAAGACTATAATTAAAGTTTTGAACCAGAGGTCTCTAAGAGGTAAAGTTGAAATGACTGAGAACCAAATGTTTACCTCCTTGATCTTACCAAATTAGCCAATAATGTCGTTAAGTTAAGCATAAAACCTCAGTTTTTCTTTACCACAGTTTTTCTTTACCACAGTTTTGATGAAAAGTCAAAAAGGTTTAAAAATAAGTAAATATCTAGTTACTGCATGTTTCAGAGGATTGTCCTCTGATGCTTTTCCTGTTCCTTAGGTGGTTACTTTACAATTATTTTATTATCAGTTA